CTCTGTATCTGTCTTTGTCTCTCCTTCTTTCTCAGTCTCTGTCTTCTTGTTTTTTTTCTAAATTTTTGCTTTTTATGATTTTTAAAGGAAAAGTGTTTTCTGCACTTTCAGCCCCTCCTAACGCCTTGTTTTGTTAAAATTATTCACTCTTCCCCTCCCAACCCAGGAGAGGCAAAGGTAATAGACCTTCTTGCAGACACAGCCACATGGATTCTGCAATCCAGCCATTTAGGGGGAACAGAAATCAGGACTTGCCACTGATCATTTGTCTTCCAGCACAGAAAACTCACATGGTATTAAGACCCCTTCCATCCCTCCTGTCTCTGTACCTTTCTTTGTCTTTCTCTACCTCAGTCTTGGTCTCTGATTCCTCTTTTTTCTTAATTTTTGCTTCTTAGAATTTTTTTAAGGTAAATCATTTTCTGCACATTCTGGACCCTCCTACCACCTTATTTTGTTTAAATTATACCCAATCCCCCACCCAACCCAGGAGAGGCAAAGGGAAGAGGCCTTCTTGAAGACACAGCCAAAGGGATTTTGCAAAGTACCCATTTTGGGGAACAGAAATCAAGACTTCCCACTGATAATGTGGCTTCCAACACACAAACTCGCATGGTAGGAAGACCCCTTCCATGACTCCTGTCTCTGTACCTCTCTTTGTCTGTCTCTACCTCTGTCTTGGTCTATGTCTCCTCTTTTATTCTTTAAATTTTTGCTTTTTAGAATTTTTAAGGTAAAACATTTTTCTGTGCTTTCTGGACCCTACTACCACCTTATTCTCTTACATCGATTCCCTCTCCCACTCTCATCCCAGGAGAGGAAAAAAGAAAGACAGATTCTGCAATCTAGCCATTTTGGGGGAACAGAAATCAAGACTTGCCACTGATCATTTGGCTTCCAGCACATAAAACTCGTGTGGTTGGACGACCCCTTCCATGCCTCCTGTCTCTGTACCTGTTTATAGGTCTCTTCCTTTTTCTTGATCTCTGTCTCCTCTTTTTAAAAATTTTTTGCTTTTTAGAATTTTTTAAGGGAAAGCATTTTCTGCACTTTTAGCCCCTCCTAACTCCTTGTTTTGATAAAATAATTCCTGGTCCCCCTCCCAACCCAAGAGTGGCAAAGGGAAGCTGCCTTTTGAAGACACAGGCACAGAGATTCTGCACAGTAGCCATTTTGGGGAAACAGAAATCAAGACTTCCCATTGATAATGGGTCTTCCAGCATACAAAACTTGCATGGTAGGAAGACCCATTCCAGGCCTCCTCTCTCTGTACCTGTCTTCGTCTGTCTCTACCTCTGTCTCCACTTTTTTTTAATTTTTGCTTTTTAGAAGTTTTTACTTAAAGTATTTTCTGCACTTTCTGGCCCATCCTACCACTTTATTTTCTTAAAATATTTTCTTTTCCCTCTCCAAACCAGGAGACGCAAATGGAAGAGGACTTCTTGATGACACAGCCACAAGTATTCTGCAAACTAGGCATTTTGAGGGAAAAGAAATCAAGGCTTCCCTTCTGATAATATAATTTGGCTTCCAGCACACAAAACTAGCATGGTAGCATGACTCCTTCCAGGCATCCTGTCTCAGTACCTGTCTTTGTCTCTCTTAACTTCTGTCTTGGTCTATGTGTCCTTTATTTTTTTAATTTTGCTTTTGGGAATTTTTGAAGGGAAAGCATTTTCTGCACTTTCTGGCCCCTCCTAGTGCATTATTTTGTAAAATAATATGCCTTCCATCTCCCAACCCAGGAGAGGCAAAGTGAAGAGGCCTTCTTGAAAACACAGCTACGTGGATTCTGCAAAGTAGCCATTTTAGGAAAACAGAAATCAAGACTTCCCACTGATAATGTGGCTTCCAACACACAAACTCGCATGGTAGGAAGACCCCTTCCATGACTCCTGTCTCTGTACCTCTCTTTGTCTGTCTCTACCTCTGTCTTGGTCTATGTCTCCTCTTTTATTCTTTAAATTTTTGCTTTTTAGAATTTTTAAGGTAAAACATTTTTCTGTGCTTTCTGGACCCTACTACCACCTTATTCTCTTACATCGATTCCCTCTCCCACTCTCATCCCAGGAGAGGAAAAAAGAAAGACAGATTCTGCAATCTAGCCATTTTGGGGGAACAGAAATCAAGACTTGCCACTGATCATTTGGCTTCCAGCACATAAAACTCGTGTGGTTGGACGACCCCTTCCATGCCTCCTGTCTCTGTACCTGTTTATAGGTCTCTTCCTTTTTCTTGATCTCTGTCTCCTCTTTTTAAAAATTTTTTGCTTTTTAGAATTTTTTAAGGGAAAGCATTTTCTGCACTTTTAGCCCCTCCTAACTCCTTGTTTTGATAAAATAATTCCTGGTCCCCCTCCCAACCCAAGAGTGGCAAAGGGAAGCTGCCTTTTGAAGACACAGGCACAGAGATTCTGCACAGTAGCCATTTTGGGGAAACAGAAATCAAGACTTCCCATTGATAATGGGTCTTCCAGCATACAAAACTTGCATGGTAGGAAGACCCATTCCAGGCCTCCTCTCTCTGTACCTGTCTTCGTCTGTCTCTACCTCTGTCTCCACTTTTTTTTAATTTTTGCTTTTTAGAAGTTTTTACTTAAAGTATTTTCTGCACTTTCTGGCCCATCCTACCACTTTATTTTCTTAAAATATTTTCTTTTCCCTCTCCAAACCAGGAGACGCAAATGGAAGAGGACTTCTTGATGACACAGCCACAAGTATTCTGCAAACTAGGCATTTTGAGGGAAAAGAAATCAAGGCTTCCCTTCTGATAATATAATTTGGCTTCCAGCACACAAAACTAGCATGGTAGCATGACTCCTTCCAGGCATCCTGTCTCAGTACCTGTCTTTGTCTCTCTTAACTTCTGTCTTGGTCTATGTGTCCTTTATTTTTTTAATTTTGCTTTTGGGAATTTTTGAAGGGAAAGCATTTTCTGCACTTTCTGGCCCCTCCTAGTGCATTATTTTGTAAAATAATATGCCTTCCATCTCCCAACCCAGGAGAGGCAAAGTGAAGAGGCCTTCTTGAAAACACAGCTACGTGGATTCTGCAAAGTAGCCATTTTAGGAAAACAGAAATCAAGACTTCCCACTGATAATGTGGCTTCCAACACACAAACTCGCATGGTAGGAAGACCCCTTCCATGACTCCTGTCTCTGTACCTCTCTTTGTCTGTCTCTACCTCTGTCTTGGTCTATGTCTCCTCTTTTATTCTTTAAATCTTTGTCTCTCTCCACCTCTGCCTTGGTCTCCATCTCCTCTTTTTAAATTTCATTTTTGCTTTATAAAATTTTTTAAGAGAAAGCGTTTACTGATCCCTCCTACATCCTTATTTTGTTAAAATATTTCCATCTTCCCCTTTCAACCCAGGATTGGCAAAGGAAAGAGACCTTCCTGAATATACAGCCACTTGGATTCTACAAGCTAGCCATTTTTGGGGAACAGAAATCAAGACTTCCCACTGATAATTTGGCTTCCAGCACACAAAACTTGCGAGGTAGGAAGACCCCTTCCAGGACTCGTGTCTTGGTACCCATATTTATCTGTCTCTACCTCTGTCTTGGTCTCTGTCTACTCTTTTTATTTATTAAATTTGTCCTTTTTACAATTTTTTAAGGGAAAGCATTCTCTGTGCCACTCCTATGGCCTTATTTTGTTAAAATAATTCCCTTACCCCTTCTCAACCCAGGAGAGGCAAGGGGAAGAGGCCTTCTTGAAGACACAGCCTCATGAATTCTGCAAACTAGCCATTTTGGGGAAATAGAAATCAAGACTTCCCACTGATAATTCGGCCTCCAGCAGCACAGGAAACTCGTGTGGTAGGAAGACCCCTTCCAGACCTCCTGTCTCTGTACCTGACTTTGTGTGTATCTACCTCTGTCATGATCTCTGTCTCCTCTTTTTTTCTTTTATTTTTGCTTTATAGAATTTTTTAACAGAAAGCATTTTCTGCACTTTCTGGCCACAATGACAGCCCTGTTTTATTAAAAAAATTCCCTCTCCTTCTGCCAACCCAGGAGAGGCAAAGGGAAGAGGCCTTTTTGAAGACACAGCCAGATGGATCCTGTAAACTAGCCATTTTGGTGAAACAGAAATTAAGACTTCCCACTGATAATTTGACTTCCAGCACACAAAATTCGCATGATAGGAAGACCCCGTCCAGGTCTCCTATGTCTAAACCTCTCTTTGTCTGTGTCTAGATCTGTCACAGTCTCTGTTTCCTCTTTTTTCTTTTATTTTTGCTTTTTGGAATGTTTTAATGGAAAGCATTTTCTGCGCTTTCTGGCCACAACTACAGCCTTGTTTTGTTAAAATTATTCCCTCTTCCCTTCCCAACCCAGGAGAGTCAAAGTGAAGTGGACATCTTGAAGACACTGCCACATGGATTCTGCAATCTAGTCATTTTGGGGGAACAGAAATCAAGACTTCCCACTGATAATTTGGCTTCCAGCACATGAAACTCTCATGGTAAGAAGACCCCTTCCAGGTCCCCTGTCTCTGTACCTGACTTTGTCTGTCTCTACCTCTGTCTTGGTCTCTGTCTCTTTTATTTTAAAATTTTTTCTTTTTAGTATTTTTTAAGGGAAAGCATCTGCACTTTATGGCCACTACTACCCCCTTATTTTGTTTATATAATTCCCTCTCCCCCTTCCAACCCAGAAGAGGCAAAGAGAAGAGGCCTTCTTGAAGACATAGCCACATCTATTCTGTGAACTATCCATTTTGGGAGAACAGAAATCAAGACTTCCCACTGATAATTTGGCTTCCAGCACACAAAACTCACGTGGTAGGAAGACCCCTTCCAGGCTACCTGTCTCTGTACATGTTTTTCTCAGTTTCTACCTCTGTCTCGGTCTCTGTCTCCTATTGTTTTTAATTTTTGCTTTTTAGAATTCTTTAAGGAAAAGCATTTTCTGCAATTTCTGGCCCCTCCCACTGCCTAATTCAGTTAAATTAATTCCATCACCCCCTCCCAACCCAGGAGAGGCAAAGGGAAGAGGCCTTCTTGAAGAAACAGACACATGGATTCTGCATACTAGCCCTTTCAGGAACAGAAATCAAGTCTTCCCACTGATGATTTGGCTTCCAGCACACAAAACTCGTGTGGTAGGAAGACCCTTTCCAGGCATCCTGTCTCTGTGCCTGTCTTTGTCTGTATCTTCCTTTGTCTCAGTCTTTGTCTCCTATTTTTTATAATTTTTTTTTCTTTTTAGTATTTTTTAAGGGAAACATTTTCTGTGCTTTCTGCTTCCTCCTACCTCCTTAATTTTTTAAAATAATTCCCTCTCCCATTCCCTACTCAGGAGAGGAAAAGGAAAGAGACCTTCTTGAAGACAGCCACATGGATCCTGCAAACTAGCCATTTTGCGGGAACAGAAATCAAGACATCCCATGGATAATTTGGCATCCAGCTCACAAAACTTGCATGGTAGGAAGACTCCTTCTAAGCCTCCTGTCTTGGTACCTATCTTTGTTACTCTCTACCTCTGTCTCTGTCTCTATCTCCTCTTTTTTTTTTTTTAAATTTGCTTTTTAGATTTTTTTTAAGGTAATGCATTTTCTGTGATTTCTGGTCCCTCTACCTCTTTATTTCATTTAAATAATTCCATATCCCCCGTCCCAACCCAGGAAAGGCAAAGGGAGGAGGCCTTCTTGAAGACACAGCCACATGGATTCTGCAAACTAGCCATATTGGTGGAACAGAAATTAAGACTTCCCACTGATAATTTGGCTTCCAGCACACAAAATTCATGTGATAGGAAGACCCCGTTTAGGCCTCCTGTCTCTAAACCTGTCTTTGTCTGTCTCTACCTCTGTTTCGGTCTCTGTCGCCTCATAATTTTTAAATTTTTGCTTTTTAGAATTTTTTAAGGTAAAGCATTTTCTGCGATTTCTGGTTCCTCCTACCACCTTATTTTGTTAAAATAATTCCCCCTCCCCCTCCCATCCCGGGAGAGGGAAAGGGAAGAGGCCTTCTTGAACACAGCCAAATGGATTCTGCAAACCAGCCTTTTGTGAGAACAGAAATAAAGACTTCCCACTGAGAATTTGGCTTCCAACACACAAATCTCATGAGGTAGGAAGACAGCTACAAGGCCTTCTGTCTCTGTACCTGTCTTTGTCTGTCTCTACCTCTGTCTCAGTCTCTGTCTTTTCTTTTTTGTTAATTTTTGCTTTTTAAAATTTTTTAATGTAAAGCATTTTCTATGATTTCTGGCCCCTCCTACTGCCTTATTTTGTTAAAATATTTCCATCTTCCCCTACCAACCCAGAAGAGGTCTTCTTGAAGAAACAGCCACTTGGATGGTGCAAACTACCCATTTTGCAGAAACAGAAATAAAGACTTCGCACTGGTAATTTGGCTTTCTGCACACAAAATTCAGGTGGTAGGTAGACCCCTTCCCGGCCTCCTGTCTCTAAATCTATCTTTGTCTGTCTCTACCTCTGTCTCGGTCTCTGTCTTTATTTTTTTTTTTAATTTTACTTCTTAGTATTTTTTAGGGAAAAGCATTTTCTACTTATACTGACCACTCCTACTGCCTTAGTTTGTTAAAATTATTCCATCTCCACTTCCCAACCCAGGAGAGGCAAAGGGAAGAGGCATTCTTGAAGACACTGCCACATGGATTCTGCAAACCAGCCATTTTGGTGGAACAGAAATTAAGAATTCCCACTTTTAATTTGACTTCCAGCACACAAAATTCGTGTGGTAGGAAGAACCCATCTAGGCCTCCTTTCTGTAAACCTGTCTTTGTCTGTCTCTACCTCTGTCTTGGTTTCTGTCTCCTATTTATTTTTAAATTTTTGCTTTTATAATTTTTTTAAGGAAAAGTATTTTCTGTGCTTTCTTGCCACTTCTTTTTTGTTAATTTTTGCTTTTTAAAATTTTTTAATGTAAAGCATTTTCTATGATTTCTGGCCCCTCCTACTGCCTTATTTTGTTAAAATATTTCCATCTTCCCCTACCAACCCAGAAGAGGTCTTCTTGAAGAAACAGCCACTTGGATTCTGCAAACTACCCATTTTGCAGAAACAGAAATAAAGACTTCGCACTGGTAATTTGGCTTTCTGCACACAAAATTCAGGTGGTAGGTAGACCCCTTCCCGGCCTCCTGTCTCTAAATCTATCTTTGTCTGTCTCTACCTCTGTCTCGGTCTCTGTCTTTATTTTTTTTTTTAATTTTACTTCTTAGTATTTTTTAGGGAAAAGCATTTTCTACTTATACTGACCACTCCTACTGCCTTAGTTTGTTAAAATTATTCCATCTCCACTTCCCAACCCAGGAGAGGCAAAGGGAAGAGGCATTCTTGAAGACACTGCCACATGGATTCTGCAAACCAGCCATTTTGGTGGAACAGAAATTAAGAATTCCCACTTTTAATTTGACTTCCAGCACACAAAATTCGTGTGGTAGGAAGAACCCATCTAGGCCTCCTTTCTGTAAACCTGTCTTTGTCTGTCTCTACCTCTGTCTCGGTTTCTGTCTCCTATTTATTTTTAAATTTTTGCTTTTATAATTTTTTTAAGGAAAAGTATTTTCTGTGCTTTCTTGCCACTATTATGGCCTTGTTTTGTTATAATAATTCTCTGCCCCCTCCCAACCCAAGAGAGATAAAGGGAAAGGGCCTTTTGAAGACAGAAATCATGGATTCTGCAAACTAGCCATTTTGTGAGAACAGAAATTAAGACATTCCACTGATAATTTGGCTTAGAGCACACAAAAGTCACGTGGTAGGAAGACCCCTTCCAGGCTTCCTGTCTCTGTACCTGTCTTGATCTGTCTCTACCTCTGTATAGGTGTGTGTCTTCTCATTTTTTGTTAATTTTTGCTTTTTTAAACTTTTTTAATGTAAAGCATTTTCTACTATTTCTTGACCCTCCTACTGCTTTATTTTGTTAAAATATTTCCATCTTCCCCTACCAACCTGGAAGAGGCCTTCTTGAATACACAGCCACTTGGATTCTGCAAACTAGACATTTTGCATGAACAGAAATCAAGACTTCCCACTGATAATCTGGTTTACAGCACCGAAATTTATGTACTATGAAGACCCTGTCTTTGTCTGCTCTCTACCTCTGTGTTGGTCTCTGTCTCCTCTTTTTTTTTTATTATATAAATTTTTTTAAGGCAAGATATTTTCTAAGCTTTCTGACCCCTAGTTGGTTATTTTGTTAAAATTATTCCCTCTCCCCCTCCCAACCCATGAGAGGTAAATGGGAGAGGCCTTCTTGAAGACACAGCCACACGGTTTTTGTAAAGTATCCATTTTGGGGGAACAGAAATCAAAACATCCCACTGATAATTTGGCTTCCAGCACACAAAACTCACGTGGTAGGAAGACCCCTTCCAGGCCTCCTGTCTCTGTACCTGACTTTGTGTGTATCTACCTCTGTCTCGGTCACTGTCTCCTATTTTTTTTTTTAATTTTTTGTTTTTTGAAATTTTTAAGGGAAAGTGTTTTCTGCACTTTCTGGGCACTACTACAGCCATGTTTTGTTTAAATAATTCCCTCTCCTCCCGCCAACCCTGGAGAGGCAAAGGGAAGAGGCCTTCTTGAAGACACAGCCACATAGATTCTACAATCTAGCCATTTTGCGGGAACAGAAATTAAGACTTTGCACTGATAATGTGGTTTCCAGCACAGGAAACTCACGTGGTAGGAAGACTCCTTCCAGGCCTCCTGTTTCTGTACCTGTCTTTGTCTGTCTCTACCTCTGTCTCAGTCTCTGTCTCCTATTTTTTATATATTTTTATAAAATTTTTTAAGGCAAAGCATTTTCTGCACTCTCTGACCTCTCCTACTGCCTTATTTTGTTAAAATAATTCCATTCCTGCCTCCAACCCAGGAGATGCAAAGGGGTGAGGCAGTCTTGAAGCACAACCACATGGATTCTGTAAAGTAGCAATTTTGGGGGAACAGAAATCAAGACTTCCCACTGATAATTTGGCTTCCAGTACACAAAACTCACGTTGTAGGAAGAGCCCTTCTAGGCCTCCTATTTCAGTACCTGTCTTTGTCTGTCTCTGTGTCTGTCTCGGTCTCTGTCTCTTTTTCTTTTAAATTGTTACTTTTCAGAATTTTTAAGGGAAAGCATTCTCTGTGCTTTCTGGCCACTACTACCACTTTATATGGTTAAAAGAATTCCCTCTCCCCCTTCCAACCCAGGAGAGGCAAAGGGAAAATGTCTTCTTGAAGACACAGCCACATGGATTCTGTAAACTAGCCATTTTGGGGGAACAGAAATTAAGACCTCCCACTGATAATTTGGCTTCCAGCACACAAAACTCGCTAGGTAGGAATACCCCTTCAGGGCAACCTGTCTCTGTACATGTCTTTCTCTGTCTCTACCTCTGTCTCAGTCTCTGTCTCCTCTTATTTATTTTAATTTTTGTTTTATTAAATTTTTTAAAGGAAAGCCCTTTCTGGCCACTACTACCGCCTAGTTTTGTTAAAATAATTCCCTTTCCCCCTGCCATCCCAGGAGAGTCATAGGGAAGTGGCCTTCTTGAAGACAAAGCCAAATGGATTCTACAATCGAGCCATTTTGCAGGAACAGAAATCAGGACTTCCCACTGATAATTTGGCTTTCGAGCACACAAAACTCATGTGGTAGGAAGATCATTTCCAGGCCTCCTGTCTCTGTACCTGTGTTTGTCTGTCTCTACCTCTGTCTTAGTCTCTGTCTCCTCTTTTTTTGAATTTTTGCTTTTTAGAATTTTTTAAGGTTAAGCATTTTCTGCCATTTCTGGCCCCACCTACTGCCTTATTTTGTTAAAGTAATTCCATCTCCCCTCCCAACCTAGGAGAGGCTAAGGACAAAGGTCCTCTTGAAGACACAGCCACATGGATTTTGCAAACTAGCCATTTTGAGGGAACAGAAATCAAGACTTCCCACTGATAATTGGGCTTCCAGCACACAAAACTCACGTCATAAGAAGACCCGTTCCAGGCAACCTGTCTCTATACATGTTTTTCTCTGTCTCTGCCTTGGTCTCAGTCTCTGTCTCCTATTGTTTTTAATTTTTGCTTTTTAGAATTTTTTAAGGTAAAGCATTTTCTGTGATATATGGCCCCTCCTACTGCCTTATTTTGTTAAATTAATTCCATCTCCTCCTCCCAACCCAGGAGAGGCAAAGGAAGAGTCCTTCTTAAAGACACAGCCCATGGATTCTGCATACTAGTCATTTTGCAGGAACAGAAATAAAGACTTCCCACTGATAATTTGGCTTCCAGCACACAAAACTCGCATGGTAGGAAGACCCCTTCCAGATCTCCTGTCTCTGTACTTGTGTTTGTCTATCTCTAACTCTGTCTCGGTCTCTTTCTCCTCTTTTTTAAAATTTTTGCTTTTCAGTTTTTTTAAGGGAAAACATTTTCTGTGATATCTGGCCCCTCCTACTGCCTTATTTTATTAAAATAATTCCCTCTCCCCTTCCCAACCCAGGATAGGCAAAGGGGGAAGGTCCTCTTAAAGACACTGCCACATGGATTCTGCAATCTAGCCTTTTTGGGGAAACAGAAATCAAGACATCCCACTGATAATTTGCCTTCCAGCACACAATACTCGCATGGTAGCAAGACCCCTTCCAGGCGTACTGTCTCTGTACCAGTCTTTGTCTGTCTCTAACTCTGTTTTGTTCTCTGTCTCCTCATTTTTCTTTAATTTTGCTTTATAATATTTTTATGGGAAAGCATTTTCAGCACTTTCTGGCCCCTCCTACCAACTTATTTTTTTTTAAATAATTCCCTCTCCGCCTCCCAACACAGGAGAAGGAAAAGGAAGAGTCCTTCTTGAAGACACAGCCACATGGATTCTGCAAACTAGCCATTTTGTTGTTACAGAAATGTAGACTTCCCACTGATATTTTTACTTCCAGCATACAAAATTTGTGTGGTAGTAAGACCCAGTCCAGACTTCCTGTCTCTAAACCTGTCTATGTCTCTCTCTACCTCTGGTCTCTGTCTACTATTTTTTTAAATTTTTTGCTTCTTATAAGTTTATACTGGAAAGCATTTTCTGAGATGTCTGACCCCTCCTACCACTTTATTTTGTTAAAATAATTCCATATCCCCCTCCCAACCCAGGAGAGGGAAAGGGAAGATTCCTTCTTGAAGACACAGCCACATGGATTCTGCAAACTAGCCATTTTGTGGGAACAGAAATCAAGACTTCCCACTGATAATTTGGCTTCCACTACACAAATCTCATGTGGTAGGATGACACCTTCCAGGCCTCCTGTCTCTGTACCTGTCTTTGTCTGTCTGTACCTCTGTCTCAGTCTCTATCTCCTCTTTTTTTAAATTTTTGCTTTTTAGAATTTTTAAGGTAGAGCATTTTCTGTGATTTCTGGCCCCTCCTACCGCCTTATTTTGTTAAAATTATTCCATCTCCCCCTGCCATCCAGGAGAGGCAATGGGAAGAGGCCTTCTTGAAGATACAGACACTTGGATTCTGCAAACTTGCCATTTTGTGGGAACAGAAATCAAGTCTTCCCACTGATAATTTGGCTTCCTGCACACATAACTCACGTGGTAAGAAGACCCCTTCTAGGCCTCCTGTCTCAGTCCCTGTCTTTGTCTGTCTGTACCTCTGTCTCAGTCTCTTTCTCCTCTTTTTTTAAATTTTTGCTTTTGAGAATTTTTTAAGATAAAGCATTTTCTGTGCTTTCTGACCACTTCTGCCGCCTTGTTTTGTTAAAATAATTCCGTCTCCCTTTCCATCCCAAGAGAGGCAAAGGGAAGTGGCCTTCTGGAAGACACAGCACATGGATTCTGCTAAGTAGCCATTTTGGGTGAATAGAAATCCAGATTTCTTACTGATAATTTGACTTCCAGCACACAAAACTCATGTAATAGAAAAACCCTTTCCAGGTCTCCTGTCTCTTTACCTCTCTTTGTCTCTACCTCTGTCTCCTCTTCTTTTAAAATTTTTGCTTTTTAGAATTTTTTAAAGAAAAACATTTTCTCCACTTTCTGGCCCCTAATACTGCCTCATTTTGTTAAAATAATTCCCCCTCCCCCCTTAACCCAGAAGAGGCAATGGGAAGAGCTCTTCTTGAAGACACAGCCACATGGATTCTGCAAACTAACCATTTTCGTGGAACAGTAATCAAGACTTCCCACTGATAATTTGGCTTTCACTACACAAAACTCACATGGTAGAAAGGCCCCTTCCTGGCCTCCTGTCTGTATCCATGTGGTTTTCCAAATTTTTGTTTTTTTACTGAAATTTTTAAAAAATATTAATTTTTTATGTTGTACTGAGTTGTTTTATCTTCATTTTTTTCTTCTCTATTTCTGTTTTTTGTTTGTTTTTGGCTGTTTTTGCTGTTGTTTCTCTCTTTCTGTTTCCTTTTCTGTATGCTCCTCAATGCTCAGATTGAACTTCCAAGTTTGGAAAGAAACTGACCATCAACCTGATGACTAGAAATTGCTGCAGTTCCACAGGATATATGGGAAATCAAGAAAATACCTCTCTTCTAAGGGAGAAAGATAATTCGTGTTCATCCACACACAGTTCATGGGAATTCATGGAAATGTCTGATAAAGATTTCGGAACATTCATAATGGCAAATCTAACAGCTATGGAAGAGAAGAGAGACAACGAACTGATAAAGAGGAAGTAGAAAAAGTTGTTGAGTTTCAGGAGGTGAGGAAATTCATGCAAGACATAAAAGTGGAATTTCACACTTTAGAAAAAAATCAGATGGAACTGTTAGAGATGAAAACTGTAAGATAGGAAATCAAAATCTCACTTGAAAGTATTAAAAGAAGACTATATTGTAAAGAAAATAGAATCTTAGACATTGAAGAAAAAATTGCTAGCCTAGAAATATCCACCACGAAGACTGAGAAAATGGCCCCATAATTTGAGACTAATATACGAGAAATACTAGATCTCATCAAACATCCAAACATCCAGATAATAGGCATCTGAGAAGGTGAAGAGACTCATAAGGGCATTGATAATATATTCCATGAGATCCTGCAGGAAAAATTTCCAAACCTAGAGAGGCACTCAAAGATTCATTCCCAAGAAATACAGAGGACCCCAAATAGAATCAATCCAAGAAGATCTTCTCCAAGACACATTATAGCCAGATTGACCAATACAACAGACAAAAACAAGATTCTAAGATTGGCAAGAGAAAAACCGCAAGTTACCTACAAGTGGTATCCCATCAGACTAACAGCAGATCTCGCATCAGAAATGAAGCAAGTGAGGAAAGAATGGGAAAATATATTCAACGTGTTAAGAGAAAAGCAATTTCAGCTGAGAATACTGTACCCGGCAAGATTATCATTCATTTGGGAAGAAAAGACGAGTATTCCCAGATAAACAAAACCTGAAAGAATTTACCAGCACCAGACCAGATCTCCAAGAAGTTCTTAAGGGAGTGCTATATCAGTAAAATTAAATGCAGACACACAGACATAAGAGTGCAGAAACTAAGAAAATGGGCAACTTAATTGTAGGGACAATGTTTGGAGATGAATATTATACCCCAGAATTCAATCTGGAAGATCAAACCTTAACAGATGAAAGATTAAGTACATGAGACTGTACAGATGAAACAACATTATGTGACTTGCCTAGAATATTGCTGCTTTTCTTCTAAGCATTGTTTTCCGGTTTTAAAGGATTTTTGTCCTGTCTTGAGCTGTTGATAGGTGCATGTACCTACTATTTGAACAGAACACTAACCTGTTTCTAGGCTTTAAGTTTCAGGGAAATATCATTACCAGTTCAAAACTGCTCTTCTTGAAATTAGCTGCTGAACTTGCTATTGAAAGTAGTTAGATTACTTATGATATTGTGTGATCAACAAAATGTTGGGGGAAAAGGAATGGAAGGCAATTGTATATAGCAGAGATAGTGTAATAAGAGAGTGGGAAAGGGCAGAGGGTCAAACATGGGGTAAAAAACATACACATACATATACATATGTATGAAATTAGAAATGGAATATTACTTATGTAGTTTATTCTAGATGGGAAACCACATTTAGTATGTTGATGATATTCAGGGAATGAATGTTAAGTATTTTAAAAAAAAGTCACAGGAGAAAAAAATACAGCAAAACTGTTCATATAAAAATTAAAATAAAAATGCATATTTGATGACTGCAGTAAGCTATATAACCCCAGCTGGGTACTACTTTATAATATGTTCATTCTACTCACTGAGTTGTATACCTAAAGTCAGACTTGGGTTCATGCATAGGTATATATCAGCTGTGCTAGCTATTGGATATATTTAGACTAATTAAGTTCATTAGCAAATCAATTAAATGGGGTGGGGGGAAGGCATAGAAAGCAACCTTGGATACCAGAGACAATGTGGGAGGAGGGTGGGACATGGCAGAGTGTGAGGGATAGGGAATCAAGGATGGCAAAATGAAAAACAAAGTATAGAAGACATAAGAATTGGAAAATTATTTGCTGATGGCATGTATGTTGATGTGCTTGATTGAGCCAATGCACAGTGTATTTTGTTTGGAAGATTCATTCTTCTGTGTGTTGTAATGATGTATAGTGAATTAATGTAAAATTATCAATAAATTTAAAGATTGTATATGTGTGTGTGTAAACATTTATATATACATTATATATATGGAAAAATTAGAAAAACAAAAAAAAGACAGAAGTAGGGAGACTTAGAGACAAAGTCATAGAAACAGAGATAGCAGGCTAGGTGTAAGAAGTGGGCTCCTTACCACTAGGTTGTTTGCTAGAGGCTGTATTATCAGAAGAAAATCTTCATTTCTATGTGCTCTGAAATACCTAGTTCTCTGGAGCCATTCAGAATCTTCTTCTGAAGGCCTGGCCTCTCCTGCATTGGTGGGAGGACAAGAACAATAATTAACAAGATGAATGGTGGAGCTGAGAGTTAGAGAAAATCTTTGCCTATAGAAAAAATGACAAAAGAAAAAATTACCAAAAAAAAGGAAGACAGAAGCAGGGAGACAAAGAGACAGAGACAGAGAACAGAGATAGAAGTCTGTGGGTTTGGGGGGGCTCCTTCCCCCTAGCTTGTTTGCTGGAGGCTGAATTATCAGTAGAAAATCTTCATTTTTTTCATGTGCTATGAAATACCTAGTTTTCAGGAGCCATTTAGAAACTTCTTCTAATGGCTTGGCTTCTCCAGCCTGAGTGGGAGGACCAGAGCAATAATTAATAAGATAACAAGTGGAGCTGAGAGCAAGAGAAAAATTTTGCCTGTAAAAAAAATACAAATAAAGAATTAAAAGAAGAAATGAAAGAAACAGAGAGAGGCAAAGACTCAGAAACAGAGATAGAAGAGTAGGGTAGGGGGGCTCCCTATTGACAGCTCATTTTCCGGAGGCTTAATTATCTGTAGAAAATCTTCATTTATCATGTGCCCTGAAATACCTAGTTTGTAGGAGCCATGTGGAATCTTCTTCTGAAAGCCTGGCATCTCCAGCCTAGGTGGGAAGACCAGTGCAATAATTAACAAAAAAAGGTGAAGCAGAGAGCAAGAGAATAATTTTGCTTTAAAAAAATATCAAAAGGAAAAGTTACAAAAATATAAGGAAGACAGAAGCAGGGAAACACTGACACAGAGAAACAGAAACAGAGATAGAAGACTGAGGTGTGGGCTCCCTACTACTAGCTTGTTTGCTGGAGACTGAATTATCAGTAGAAATTCTTCATTTCTCTTAGGCCCTGAAATACCTAGTTCGCAGGAGACATGCAGTATCTTCTTCTGAAGGTGTGACCTCTCCTGCCTGTGTGGGAGGACCAGAGCAAAATTAACAAAATAAAAGTGGAGTTGAAAGCAAGAGAAAATCTTTGCCTTTAAAAAAATATCAAAAGGAAAAATTACAAAATATAAGGAAGACAGAAGCAGGGAGACACAAAGACAGAGACACAGAAACAGAGATAGAAGTCTATGGTGAGGGGCTCCCAACCACTAGCTTGTTTGCTGCAGGCTGATTTATCAGTAGAAACTCTTAATTTCTTGTATGCCCGAAATACCTACATTGCAGGAGCCAGGCAGAAGCTTCTTCCTATGATCTGGTCACTCCTTCCTGAGTGTGTGGACTAGAGTGATAATTATCAGCATAAAAGTTGCAGCTAAGAGCAAGAGAAAAACTTTGCCTTAGTAAAAAGGTAAAAATGAAAAAAAAAAGACAAGAACATGAAAGACAGAAGCTGGGAGAGGAAGAGACACAGAAACAGAGAGAGTAAACTGGGAGGGGAGGCTCCCTACTGCTAGCCTGTTAACTGGAGGCTTAATTATCAGTAGAAAATCATTTCTCATGTGCCCTGAAATACCTAGTTCACAGGAGCCATGCGGAATCTTCTTCTGAAGGCCTGTCCTCTCCTGCTTTCGTGGCATGACTAGAGCTATAATTAACAAAATAAAGGTGGAGCTAAGAGTAAGAGAAAAACTTTGCCTTTAAAAAAATGTCAAAAGTTAAAATAAAAAAAAACAAGACAGAAGCAGGGAGAGACAGAGACACAGAAACAGACAGAAGGCTGTGGGTAGTGGGGATTCTCTACCACTAGCTTGTTTGCTGGAGGCTGAATTATCAGTAGAAACTCTTCATTTCTTGTGTGCCCT